ACTGGATTAAAATAAAATTTTCTTGTGTAATTTGTTGAAATTTAAATTATCTCCACTAGTTTACTCACTAAACAACAGGACTAATCTGTTAACATTATCTTTACAGAAGCCAGCAGAAGTCAAGAGAAATAAAAAGAATGGAACAAAAGAAAAATTGAAAAGAACAGTGAAATGACAAAATTAAATAAAAATTTTGCATTTCTTATTGTTGTTCCATTGTATCTTGTGTATTGTTGACCAAGACAGCAGAGAAAACCATCGAAAAGCTGTTCAGACAGAAAATGACAGATGCTACACATGATCAAACAAAAGATAAAAAAACACTTCTAAGAACAAATTTGTTCAATGCTGGACCAAATGAAATGCATGAGGATATTTATAATCTGAAATAAAATGCTTTGCTGAGCGCAGCCTGATACGACCGCAGAGGTCGAACCCTATACAGTTGGGGCAAATTTGGACACAATATTCAAGCTTGATACTGAATTTGGATTGTAATCAAATTTTTGACATAATATAGGTTTCTGACACAAAATAAATGTGGTCAAAGATCTTATAAATCCATTGCGCAATACTGTGCAATTGAAGATTTCTTTTTGAAACTTCAAAAATTCGAAATTTAAAAAATTTTGAAAAAAAATATGAATCCCTTAAAAAGAATTGTGAAAAAAATTCCCGCCCCCCCCCCCCCCCCCCCCCGGCCCAACTTTTTGAACCCCCCCTTAGAGCAATAACCCCAAAACTCAAACCCAGCCTTTCTTTTGTAGTATGGAACCTTGTAGTACAATTTCAGAGAGATCCATACACTTACACACAAGTTATTGTCTGGAAACTAGAAAAATGCTTGTTTTTGACCCCTAATTCCTACATGTTTGGGGCAATTAACCCCAAACTCAATCCCAGCCTTCCCTTTGTTATATGGAACCTTGTGGTACAATGTCAAGAGAGATCCATACTTACACACACGTTATTGTCTGGAAACTAGAAAAATGCTTGTTTTTGGCCCTTAATTCCTAAACTGTTGGCCCTATAACCCCTAAAATGAATCCCAACCTTCTACTTGTGGTATTAAACAGTGTGGTACAATTTCAGAGCAGTCGATATACTTATACACAAGTTATTATCCTGAAACTAGAAAAATGCTTGTTTTGGGCCCCTTTTTGGGCCCCAAATTCCTAAACGGTTGGGACCATCATCCCCAAACTCAATCCCAACCTTCCTTTTGTGATATTGAACCTTCTTAAAAAATTTCATAAAGATCCATTCACTTAAACTAAAGTTATTGTCCGGAAACCTATGTGACTTCGGACGACGACGCAGACGACGACGACATCATACCATTATTCGATCCCAAAAAAATTTTTGCGGTCGTATAAAAATTAATACCTATATGTAAGTGAAACAAATTATGCGGTATGGGCTTTGCTCATTGTTGAAGGCTGTACGGTGACCTATAGTTGTAATTATTTCTGTGTCATTTGGTCTCTTGTGGAGAGTTGTCTCATTGGCAATCATACCACATCTTCTTTTTCATATGTGTTCAGTGCAAAATACAAAAAAATGGACTATTCAATAAAATTTATATCAAAGACAGGAAATATATCATACCACATCTTCTTTTTCATATGTGTTCAGTGCTAAATACAAAAAAAGGGACTATTCAATAAAATTTATATCTAAGACAGGAAATATTGGGGTTGTCAATGAGACATTAACCCGACAAAAATAGACAAAATATATATAGATTAAGCAGGCATCAACAGCATGCAGACAAATGTAAAAGGAGATGTGGGGTAAAGATCAGTATTACGGCGGTTGTTTTCTCAAATGTGGATCCAGGATTTTGAATATAGATAAAGTGACCCCCCCCCCCCCCCCCCACTCCATTCTGAAGTAACTGTATTAAAACAGTTAATGTAGGACTTTCTTTGAGATATTATTGTGTCTGGGAGACACAATTGATGCCCCCGTAGATGCAAAGTGTTATTTTAAAATAACTATAACATTTAACCGCTTATACCCCAAAAATGACAAAGTTCAACTATCTCCCAAAAGGGCAAATATCAATAAAAATGAAAACCATAACCACATGCACATCTTCAATATATGTACAAACAGACAGCAAAGTGAAAACTTCCTAGGATTCTAACTGTAGGAGGAGTTGTGCTGAATAACTATATACCCATAATGGGACGAACGGACAGACAGACAGAAGGACAGACAGGGGTAAAATAATATGCCCCCAGCTTTCAGTTGCGGGGGCATTAAAAGGGGTCATCAGGCCCCAAACTAGACAAAGTTTTGAGAGTAATAAAAAAATCTGGATTTACCATAAATGTAGCTCCATAAGGGCCATAAAGGGGGGACCCAGGCACCCCACTCCTAAATCTGTCTCTGATATTAAACATTGTTTATATGTTTCTGAATATTTTATAAAAAGACTTGACAGATTATGTTAGAAAACATTTTTATAATGATATTTCGAAGAACATTTAAATGATTTTTTAATGATTTTTGAGAATATGAAGATTATTAAAACATTTTGTTAAAAAATATTTTTTGAACTTTTTCAAAACATTTTATCCTGCAGAAATGAATTTTTATATGTTTTAAAAATGTTTCAGGGATATTTGATTAACAAACACATTCAAATCATTTATAAGACATTTTACAAACATTGTCGTCAAAATTCAGTAACATTTTAATGATGTTTTAAAAGTATCATGAAAATGTTTTGAAAATATTTTTAACGCCATACATTTGTGCATGATTTTGATATTTTTCTACAATATTTTTTCAACATTTTTCTATTTTTTTTGGTGCTAACTGGGAAAGCAGTGGTGAAACAGCACCACATTAGAACAAATAATAAAATCAATTGCATGTAAATCCATTTCATCTTTTATGCATATTTATTTACAATGTATTTTTATGAAATTAGAAAGAACACAGCAAACACAGATAATTCTGGAACCAAGTTGAATTAGAAGTTTTCACGTGGAATTACATGTTTCAGATTGTTTATTCCCCTGCCACAGCGGAGGAGGGGCATTAAGTTTTACCCTTGTGTAACTTTTAGACAATACAAGGACTCTTTTAATGTGAATTCGGTTGGACGACACTTTTCTATCACAAACTACTTTCTTCTGATCTAGTTGGAATTTCCCTTTCAGAAAAGTTTGTGTGTTAATATAAGGAACTGTCTTGGCTAGTAAATAAATCCTGTTCCATAATTCCACTATTTGCCATTTGTTGTCACCTTTGTCAAATTTTTTTTTACATCTGGTTCTGACAGAAGTATTGATCCTCGCACTTGCAGCCACTTGGATTTTAATCATGAATTCATTTCAAACATAAAGATGTATCCCATTCATCACTTCATGGTTGGGTAAAAAGTCTGTTATCCATGATGGCTTCTGAAATATTAAAACAAGAAAACACAAAGCATCATGTTATTTAATAAACTGCAGGTTCAGAAATTTTTCTTATCATTCATAAAGGACAAGCGTTTAATGCGGGGATGTGTGTGATGTTTTTTTCTCACAAAAATACTCTTGATTTCCAACTTTGAAGAATTAAAAAAAATTGTTCTGACAGCTTTTGCCATAAGTTTAATGTAAAGTCCTTAGAAAATTCAGACTTTATTGCGACAAACAAATAGAAAAATTATGCTCATATGTACCATGGTTTTTTTTAGAATGCAATACATGTATAGGGATTGTCATATTTCCCAATACATGTAGTTCTCTTCCTTTCATGCATTGTTTTGTCAGGGAAATATATTTCACTTGCTATAATTAAGTGCACAACATAATTATAATTTCTTATTTACAATGCAAACAAAGGTAAAAGGGTGAAAAAAATGTGAAGACTAGGAAAAAACTTACAAAGTGTGAGGGTATATTTGAAGAATAAAATACATCCCTGTGTCATCCCCCTATTTTAATAAATAATAACCTGTCAAATTATTGGGCTGTTTAATCGAGAAAAAATAAAACAAAGAGGTTAAATACTGTACTAAATATAAGAAAAATATAAATACATATAATAACCTAATCCTGTTGTTATATAATCTCCTGGCATGACCTGGTTATGGCAAACTTGGTCGAATATTTTCCGCCGGGTTTCCCTAGATATTTTTGATGGGTGGATCAACTCTCTTGGTGCCTTCTCTCCATTTTAAAAGAATTTCATGGTCTTTTGGGAATCTGTGGTCCCCCTTCAGAATAATTGCAGCCGGGGACACAACAATTTTGGAGCTTAGTTTGGTGAAATTAGCGAGTGTCGATTGTGGTTACTAATGTAAACATGTGCTACGTAATGCGATTCAAGCGTCAAATTGATTAAAACGTTTCCGACAACCACTTATGGAACACCAGCGACGTCTACAGGAAGAAATATTACGAATGATCCCTATTCTTGTACATGTCAGATAAATCAGTACATAGTATACACAGGCACTTGTCTCAGAAATGTTATATTAAGGTATATAGGGGGGAAAAAATTCTAATACAAGTGCCTGTGATAGTATACAATTCTGTCAAGTTAACGATGACGTCATGAATAAAACATACGTCATTAACACCGAAGACGGCTCTTTCTATGAATACCTCTTTTTTTTAAAGCTTCAACAAAGACGAGAATAGCTTGAACACAACGCTGGTCATATGGTACGGTGTTACTTGTCCACACGCGCAAAATCAGTGTTATAAGGGATCATTCGAGAGGCGGAGTTACAAAATGTAAAAAGTATTGATTTTTAGGCATATCATAGTTCCATTTCTACTTTTAATTACGTACATTTTGATATATACATTTAATTGTTATTGATTCCAAAACTTCGAACAAGTACAATAAAGGCGAACTGGGAAGCAAATCCCGTATTATCACCAACACCGTCGTCTTGAGGTTTTTAACTTTGCCGATTTGTTTGATCACTTTACTGTAGAAAAACCTTAAACTGGTTTTCGGTTTGTAAATAACTGATTATCGTAGATAGCCAATCGTCTATAATATAGTGAAACCAGCTTTGTAACTGCTGAGAAGAAATGGATATCGAAGCTGGAACTTCGACAAATACTTCACATAGCTTTTCAACTGACCGTCATGCAAAGAAAATTTTAGCAGCTTTAAATGAAAATAGAAAGTTACTACGATTCTGTGATGGCACTGTTGTTTTGAATGGTTCAGAAATACCTGTTCAAAAGAATGTTCTTGCTGCAGCAAGTCACTATTTTCGGTACTTTTTTTTATAAATTTGTATCTCCCCAACATTCCAGAGAATAGATAAGCATTTGTCACCTAAAGTACTCAAAAGAATGATTGGTTTGTGTTGTTTTTCAACATGCATAGTCACTTCACATGAAGTTTAAATGATGGATGGTACAGTCTTGCCAACTTTTAATAATGCAAATGCGTGAGATTTGGCTAAAATCGTAAAGATCAAAGAGAAAAAACAATAGATCAAAGAAAATGCCGCCAAAGAAGCATGAAAATGCGTGAGACTTGGCAGCCCTGGATGGTATCAGGTCCGTTTGCTCACAATCTCGAGCTCCCAATACACTTTCACACCCTACACTTTCGCCCCCTGGGTTCGTTAGCACCCTATTTTTTTTTCAAATACTGGTTCATTTATTAGATGTTTTAAGGTGTTTTATCAAAATATCTAAATTTTCATCAATAAAATTCGATAATTTTTAAATGAAAAACTTTTTTTTTGTGATTTAATGATTAGTTATTAAATGTTAATTTCGTGTAATTACTGTTAATTGGTATTTACAAAGCCAAATTTGTTATAATTGTTCTGAGTTTGAAAATCATGATTGTTGTTGTAACTAGCTTTGATGTAAATACTGCATGCAGTTAGCTTGGTATGAGTAAACTCAATGAAGATTTGGTATCTACCGCCTTTCTTTTTAAAATACAAGTCTTAGATGAATGAACTCTGCCTAAATCTTCATGACAATCTTTTATTCATGATTCATTTTGTCAAAATAAATACTAACCTTAGTCTGCAGAATAGTCCCATATAAAACACTAAAGGAAACCTGTTTACATCATAAGAATGTCACTTTCTTGACTTTATTTTGAGGAAACAATAGAAAAAAAACTTATTTATAGCAATACACTTACTTAAACATGATTATAAATGTATTCAACATTAAACTAATAAAGGTTGCGAACGGACCCAGGGTTGCGAATGTGTGAAGTGCGAACGTGAAATGGGGCGAACGTGAATGGGAGCGAACATGATTTTGGGCGAAGGGACCCGGTTTCATGACGGATATGAACATAAATAACGGTAGCAAAAAAAAAAAATAATAGATACAGGCCATATTCTTGCCGGCGAAATGACGATTTAAGTCACCAAAGAATTTAGAAAATCGCTAAATCTCGCCGGCCGACTGACTTCATAGCGAAGTCAAATCGCTATCAAAATAGGAAAAAGGGAGACAACTTGTAATTGACAAATCTCACAGGTAAAAAAATGGCGGCTGACAAGGAAAAATCGAGATTTTTCGAAACGACCCAGGACTTATACTGTCAACGATCAAATTAAATAAATACAACGGCGACTTTGAACATCCTCGGATATAACATTCAAAACTATTCAAACGGAAAACTGACCGTCTGGTTAAGTTATCATTTTACGATAATTTTCATCTGAGGATGTTGCGTAATCACTCAGCTGATTTGTTTTATTTTTATTACTTACACGAGTCGATCAATTTTACTATTCGGTAGGTAAAGGGTTGGAATTCACGGTAGATTTATTATATTGATTGAATAAAAATTGAAATATAAAAGGTAGAAAGACAGCTGATGGATAATGTGATTGCAAACATACGACACTCGACCAGATAATTTGTGATCAGCAGTGGATTTTTTTCTCACGACCATTTCGTTGATATGGATGATATTTTTAAAAAATGATAGAAATTAACTCTTTATCATGTTTATTGGATAATTAATATGCGATTGAAAGATTTTTTCATTTATAGACTTACAATTTTTAACGATAATCTCAATTTACAACTAACATAATGTCCTGGACATTCAATAATGTTTTACAAAATAATGACAAATGGTGATATGAATTAAATTCCCAGTCATGTGAAATTCATCAGGTAAACTGGGAGTCATATTTTTCTGTACTTTTAAAAATAAATTGAGGCAGATGCACATGAATTTAATGCATCAAAATCGTGATAATATTACTAGGCTACTCCCTTATGTCCCAATCAACAAATTTTATTTAGTCTAAGAACACGAATGCAACCGAAACGGTAATGGAATCTCACTTCTCCAAGAAATTGACCACTTCTCCCTTCTCTCTCATGGAAGGAGAAGTCACTTCTCCCTCTTCAAAATCCTAGATTAGGCCCTGTAGATAAGCAAAACAAAGTTAGATGATAAGAAAAGATAACATAAATTTTCAATCAATTTGTAATTAATACCAGAGTCAATGGACTATTATTAACTCAGTTACCCTGACATTAGTAACATTATGGTCAAATAATCAAATTTCTTTATTCCTAATTAAAGGACCCTTATAGAGCATATACATAAATACAAATCACAAAGTTCATCATGTTCATACAATATCCTCACAAACACCACATGCAATCTAACACGGTCAGGCCTCTACAATAACTGATTTTTCAACTTCCCCAATAGGACAAGTACATACCAAAATTTACTTGTCCGAATGGAATTGTAACTTGTCAAAAAAAAAATCCTTTATATTATAAAATTGAGAATGGAAATGGGGAATGTGTCAAAGAGACAACAACCCGACCATAGAGCAGACAACAGCCGAAGGCCACCAATGGGTCTTCAATGCAGCGAGAAACTTTTTTTCATTTTATGTTGATTCAATGAACAAAATGAATTAAAACAATAGAACAGAATTTGATTTATATCTCTTGGTATCCTTTTCAAAAATATGAGTCAAGAACAACTAAATCTAGTCATTTCTAGTCACAGGACTAAGGTTCTAGTTTTCATCAAAGCCAAAGTCTCATCAGATTCTGCATATCAGGCACAGTCTGGTAGGCCGGTCAGTCTACACTCATTTGGTTTGTATCCTGGTCTTTTATGTTGATAAAATATTGATTATTATTATTAATGTCTTACTACTATCAGCTTTGTTTTAAATATATTAAAATGTTTATTCAAACACACTCAAATATTGTTTGTCTAAATAGTAAACATGATCAAATATGATTTTCTGAATTCTATGGTCAATAGTTTCTTCTTTTCATTTTTAAAATATTTTTGTTACATAAAATTTATCATATATTTATTATAAAGCAACAGAATAAGGTAGGGAAACAGGTACTGGTTTGTCTTGGTCCCGAAATGTCTCCAACAGTGCCGAACTATCTATTAAACATGGAGCCGATTTGTTTCCGTGCCGGTGCCAAACTGTCTTGTTACCTAATATACAAAGCGCACCGCTGATTCTGATTGGTAAGACTTGTTCCCTAGAAAAGTATGCCTTTTATTTGTTATAAAGTATCTGACAAAGAACCAGTTTTAAAGTATCGATCGCAAGTAAACATGTCAAATTAATATTTGTTTTTATCTTCTTTTCTTTTTTATTTGTTTATTATGGACTTTGATCATCAAAGTTGGATTTAAGTTATTTTCTACAAAATAATTCTATTTGTCCCGTTGGACAAGCTTGGTATGGCATTTACTTGTCCGAACTTTTTTTCCTCTGGTATCGGACAAATTTTGCTCATATAACAATGGAAGTCTTCCTAATTCATAATATACCATTACATAAGAATTCAACCCCTTGACCTCTAGTTATGTTTTACAATAGTCCAAGTGAACTTTTTCTACATTTGGTGCTTTATGAACACCCCAAACATTAGATACTACATACATATGTGTCAAAAAAACTAATAGAAAGAACGTGTTCAGGTATAAGGATGACGTCCTTTTCCTCATACTAAACATAGCTTTCCTGCCTTGTTTAGCACAAGTGTTTTTGAGTAATATAAAATTTACAGTTATAATGAAATAACACACTAAGATAACAGAAATGATCTAATGTTTTACCATTATAAATCCATGTCTCATTTAGTCTGATTTTTCTACCTTTATCTTGGTTTTCTTTGTGTTAACTGAAAGACCCCATTTCTCAGTATAACCTGATAAAATATTTATAAACATATTTTGCAAGCCTTGGATTGATTCTGACATCAATATCATTTCATCGGCATACATTAATAAACAAAGTGCTATGTCCTGAATTTCTCGATAATTCTAATACAAGATCTAACATTGCTATACATGGATTTTAAAATAGTACCGGTAAGCAATTTTCTGCTGAATTCTTATATAGAAATCTTGTACCACAAACATAGACGATCAACTGAATCAAACGCTTTTAAATGATCAACAAAGCAAAAATATAAACATGCATACTGATAATTAATAATTAAAAAATAATTAATTTTAAAAAAAATATAGAAACCATAGCATAAAGCAAGTTATGAATAAAACACTTAGTGAAAGGAAACCAAAAGTTTGTGGATATGTTGTATATATAGTTCAAACCATACATGAAATATTTGAGTTTTATATATATTTCTTTGTTTTGGCATTCGCAGTGCTCACATTTGAAATTTATTGTTGAGAAACTTATTTGTATTGTATATAATAAAATTGAATAACTTTGATATCGTTTGTGAGAAGCTTGGTAATTACAAACAGTTTAAAAATTAGTAAAGCTCATTTGGTAGAGTTGTGAAAGACTGGTAATGTGTAATGATGAATGCTACTTCCTGCAAGCTAAAATTATTTTTTAGAATTACTGATTTCAGTCTCACTTAAATTTGCACATAGTAGAATGAAATTTCCTGTTGTTTCAGATTGGTCTTTAATTATGATGACTCTACACATACTCACACTACAGACCCCTCTGTTGTGGATTTAACATCTCTAGGTATCAGTGAGGAAACATTTGGCACAATTCTAGACTATATTTACACTTCAAACATCAGTTTGTGTGATGAAAACATACAAGATATATTACAAGCATCAGATCTACTTCTACTGATAGATCTAAAGGCACTCTGTTGTGAATATATAGAACAATGTATCAGTCCACAGAATTGTATTGGCATTAGAGAATTTTCAGCTCTGTATGCCTGTCCATGGGTACACCACAAAGCTTCCAGTTACTTGGATGAACACTACAGGTATAAAGAAAAATGATTTCAATCATTATTAATTTAACCTTTTTTTTTATATTGTGATTATATTTTCTTAGCAGAGTAGCAAAACAGATTTTTAGTACTTGTACGTTTTGATAAGGTGGAAAATATTGAAATACAATACAGTAATTTCTGGATTTGATTTGAATGCTTATATGCTAGATATATGTATTGGTACACCTATCACCTGTTTTAGATATTGTTTGCCGCTGCATGTAACATTATGGTAAGAAAATCTAGCAATACAAAATAAGGAGATGTGGTATTATTACCAATGATACAACTATCTACCAGAGACCAAGGAGATGTGGTATTATTACCAATGATACAACTATCAACCAGAGACCAAGGAGATGTGGTATTATTACCAATGATACAGCTATCCACCAGAGACCAAGGAGATGTGGTATTATTACCAATGATACAACTATCCACCAGAGACCAAGGAGATGTGGTATTATTACCAATGATACAACTATCCACCAGAGACCAAGGAGATGTGGTATTATTACCAATGATACAACTATCCACCAGAGACCAAGGAGATGTGGTATTATTACCAATGATACAACTATCAACCAGAGACCAAGGAGATGTGGTATTATTACCAATGATACAACTATCCACCAGAGACCAAATGACGTATATGTTAGCAACTATAGGTCACCATACGACCTTCAACAATGAGCAAAACCCATAACACAAAGAAAGCTACAAATTGCCACGACTAGACAAAATGTAAAACAATTCATACAGGAAAACCAACAGCCCGATTTATGTACAAAATATACGAAAAACAAATATGACAGACCAGCAACAAAAGACAACAACTGAATTATTGGCTGCTAGGTACATACATATATAAGGATAAAAAGATGTAGTATAATATGTACACAGTGTATTCCTTCCACCACTGTATTTTTTCCAGAGGGCAAGTTACACTAGAGTATAATTTCCAGAGGAATTAATGCACTAGGATACTTTTTCCAAGCCTAGTGTAAATTATAACCCTTATGTTAGATGTGTATCCAAAACACTCTTTTCAGTAAATCATTTCAGATTAAAATTTCACATAAGCTTGTGAAAAGACAATTCCACTATCCATCATATAAGGTTTTCAAAATCTATATATACCTAATTATTATGATAAATGTGTCACCAAGGTAGAACATATTTGCATAATTTATCACAGCCTTGGTGGTCTCGTGGTAGCTTGTTCTCCTTGAGTACGGGAGGTCATGGGTTCAAACCCTGGCAGGGTCAAACCAAAGACTTTAAAACTGGTATTTGCTGCTTCTTCTCTAAGCACGCAGCATTAAGGAGTAAGAGCGAAGAGTGGTCAGCTCGGAGTCAGAAAAATGTGTCTGGGTAAGGTGACATTTCTTCCTGCGGACTGTTACCCTGTGAACTAGCATGTTAAAAATTCAGCTCAGCATGTCGGTCTAGTACTAAGCAGGGTAAATATTCATATAACATTAACATGTTCTCGTCTTGAATATGCATATTAATTTGCCACTGGATGTTAAGCAGCCATCCATCATCATCATCATCATCATCATCATTTATCAATCAAAGGGAGATACTTATGAGAGATTTCCATTTTATGGATACTATATTCCGGAATAAATTTCATAGTGAAATTGTTTCCTTTTTATACGACCGCAAAAAAATTTTGTGGTCGTATATTGGTATGACGTTGGCGTCGTCGTCGTCGTCGTCCGAAGACACATTGGTTTTCGCACTCTAACTTTAGTTTAAGTGAATGGATCTTTTTGAAATTTGACCATAAGGTTAAATACCACAAAAGGAAGGTTGGGATTGATTTTGGGGGTTATGGTACCAACCGTTAAGGAATTAGTGGCCAAAAAGGGGCCAAAAATAAGCATTTTCTAGTTTCCAGACAATAACTGTGGAATGGTGTATGGATCTCTCTGAAATTATACTACAAGTTTCCATACCACAAAGGGATGGTTAGGATTTGCTTTGGGGGGTTATGGCTCAAACCGTTTAGGAATTAGGGGCAAAAAAGGGGGAAAAACAAGGTTGTCCTGGTTAATGGACAAATACTTTAGTACAAAACATAATTTAAAGCAGTGTAAGGGAGATAAATCAAATACATCATTGAAATTATCTCCCTTACACTGCTTTTAAATTATGTATAAAGTAATGGTTAATGAACAATAAAGATAATTTAAAACAGTGTAAGGGAGGTAATCCAAATACAATGTTTTGGTTACTTCCCTTACACTGCTTTAAAATTATGTTTAAAGAAATGCATATTTATAAAGGAAGACCAGTAAAAATATCTGCAAATGTTGCATCTTTTTTTTTTACAAAAAAATCCATTTGAAAGATTTGACACTATATTTTTAATTCTATTATAAAATAGATTAAGTTAGCACTATGGTAAATTTAAATGGGTAATTATGGTTGCCAACTCCATTGGAAATTTGAATTGAGATTATGACCATATCTTGAGGGAAAGTTTTTTTTTGGGGAAAAAAGGGCGGGGGGATAAAAAGAAATTGTGGGGAGTCAATTTTTTCTCATTTCAGATTTCAGAAATTAAAAAGAATTGTTCTTCAAATATTATTTTTTTTTCAAATTTCAAATATTGAAAAATTTCAAGAAGTAATCTTTAATTGCACAGTATGGCGCATTAGATTTGTAAAATCTTTGATCACATTTATTTATTTGTTATGCCGAATCTGACAGTGTATTTAGATTTTTAATTTTGGGTCCAGTTTTCAAATTGGTCTACATTAAGGTCCAAAGGGTCCAAAATTAAACTTTGTTTGATTTTAGCAAAAATTGAATATATGAGGTTCTTTGATATGCTGAATCTAAACATGTATTTAGATTTTTGATTTTTGGCCCAGTTTTCAAGTTGGTCCAAATTGGGGTCCAAAATTAAACTTTGTTTGATTTCAACAAAAATTGAATATATGGGGTTCTTTGATATGCTGAATCTAACCATGTATTTAGATTTTTTATTTGTGGACCCTGTTATCAAATTGGTCTACATTAAGGTCCAAAGGGTCCAAAATTAAACTTAGTTTGATTTTAACAAAAATTGAATTTTTGGGGTTCTTTGATATGCTGAATCTAAACATGTGTTTAGATTTTTGATTATGGGCCCAGTTTTCAAGTTGGTCCAAGTTGGGGTCCAAAATTAAACTTTGTTTGATTTCAACAAAAATTGAATATATGGGGTTCTTTGATATGCTGAATCTAACCATGAATTTAGATTTTTTATTTGTGGGCCCCGCTATCAAATTGGTTCATATTGAGGTCAAAAGGGTCCAAAATTAAACTTTGTTTGATTTCATCAAAAATTGAATTATTGGGGTTCTTTGATATTCCAAATCTAACCGTGTATTTAGATTTTTAATTTTAAGTCCCGTTTTTCAAATTGGTCTACATTAAGGTCCAAAGGGTCCAAAATTAAACTTAGTTTGATTTTAGCAAAAATTGAATTCTTGGGGTTCTTTGATATGCTGAATCTAAACATGTGTTTAGATTTTTGATTATGGGCCCAGTTTTCAAGTTTGTCCAAGTTGGGGTCCAAAATTAAACTTTGTTTGATTTTAACAAAAATTGAATATATGGGGTTCTTTGATATGCTGAATCTAACCATGTATTTTGATTTTGGACATTGGACCATAATAGGTAAATTAAAAAAAATCAAGTTCTCAGACCACATTCTTTCTGTGTCAGAAACCTATGCTGTGTCAAATATTTAATAACAATCCAAATTCAGAGCTGTATCAAGCTTGAATGTTGTGTCCATACTTGCCCCAACTGTTCAGGGTTCGACCTCTGCGGTCGTATCAAGCTGCGCCCCAGCGAAGCATTTTATTTCTTAATTTATTAAGTATAAACTGATGACTTTAACATGTTTAATTAGAAACAGAAAATATTTCACAGGTTTATAAAAAATTACCATTATTACACATTATCCAGTTGTGAAATATATTCATCATACTCTGATTCCTCCATCACTGTAGTCATGTAACTAGACATTTTGTATTTCTACCTTTACTTTTTTAAATTTCTTATTGATCTGTGAAATTATTTCTGGTTTTGTTACATATTTTTTATGATAATTGTTTTCCTTTTTGATATCATGGATATTGTGATTATGAAATTAAAATTTTTAGTTTTAAATATTTTACAATTACCATCTGTGATATTATTTCCTGTAACAAAATGATTGTTTGGTATTTTTTATGATTCCTTTAGCTTTTATTTAATTACTCTATTATGAGTCCATAGTATTTGCAAAAATTTAGTTTTTTTTCAACTTTTCTATACATTTGTGAATGATAATCTCTGAATATGAAAACTTTGGTTCAAAACAACAATTTCACACCTTCTATTCAGGTTTATTTAATTCAAAATCGCCTGATACTCCTCCTGCTCCATATCTAATAATATGTAACCTTTGTTATAATAATATTACAATAAATTGATAATATGCCATTTAATAAAATGCACGGGCGACAACAATAAGAAAATCGGCTTTATGAAAATGAAACTTTTCCACAGTCATCACCTATTGGTCAATTTATTTAAACATTTGTCAGTTCTATTGTCCCAGTGAATAAATACAATATACAATTATGGTCCGCTGAGGAGTTGAATATCCAAAATTGTCAACCCATACTTGGGTTAACAATTTTGGGTATTCACCGACTCAATGGGCCATAACTGTTTTGTCATACCGAAGAAACAATTATTAAAAGTAAAATATTGCCTTACCGGAGTGAATAAGATTGTCAAAACACTAACAATAGGTAATTATTTTGTGTCTTAGAATTTCTGGTATGTACAACAAAGGTAGACTCTTTCTGTAAAATATTGATGGCCCTGTAAAGGGCAGTTTATGAGAAATATCCTTGGAACTAGATGATTTTCCAAGCCTTGTTTGATCTTGTTTCCTTGTAACTTGATGGGCTTGTTACCTGGCCGTTGCCATTTTGTTTACGGATGTCAATGGTGTCATTTTTATGGGAGATAACTCTTGAAAAAATCAAAGGGCTGAAAAGGTTATTCACAGGGAATAATAGGTTTGTTTGATGGAGGCTTCAATTTATCTGGGTTATTCATCGCTCCTGCCAATTTTTGAAAAACCATCCAAATTAAACTATAACACTTGATTCCGTATCAGCCAATCAAATAATTACTATACAATGTAAGGTATAATAATAGCTATTGTTTTCTGTGTAGTTTTTAACTTTATTCATTGGGACCTTTAAATGTTTTCTTAGAGAAATCCATCACTCATGGATTAATTTACCAGAGTAAAAAAAAATATCTTCTAAATAGATGAAAATACATGTTTCAACTCAAAAAACTGTGTGTGATGTTGTATTTTTTCAATATCAATAATATATTTTCAATCTGTTCAATATAAACACTGATTTAATCATAAAAAGTTGATATTTCTGACAGATTTTTTATCATTATTCCTATTGAAATTTTGCATTTTTTTATTTTTTGTTTAATTATAGAATACATTAAAGAAGGCCTTAATTTAAACATTGTGAATAAACTACACATAGAACAATAGCTATTGTATTTATTAAATGGGACAATAGAACTGACAAAAGTTTTAATAGATTGACCAATAGGACAATGTAGGAGATGACTCTGTGGAAAAGTTTCATTTTGTTCGCAATAAATGTACTATTTTTCCGATTTCATTTGAAGTTCAACGTATAAAAGAATAAAAAAAAAATATCAAGACCACATTTTTATTGTGTTTCGACAGAGATATCAGTCACTGTGAAGAATTCTTAAGACTACATGCCAAAGATTTGAGGGAGATATTAAAAAGGGACACCTTGATTGTAAGATCTGAAGAGGATATCTTCAACAGCATTCTTAGATGGAATAAATTTGATGAGAAAAGCAGGAAAGAAGATTCAAAGGTGATTATCAGGGATTGTATAAGAGTGAAGCAGTTACCAGACAATTACCTCCAAAGAATTTGTACATCTGATCCAGAGTTTTATGCTTGTCTTAGTACACATAATCAGAGTCAAGAAAAGAAAGAGGAGGATGACCGTTGTCGTGGATTTACTGATGTCATTTTGGCTGCTGGAGGGGAAGGTCCTATTTCTATGTAAGTAAACATACAAGTTGTCAGTCACCATGTGGATGAAAAAATTATAGCATGTAGAAAAGTCAAAGTCTTTATTGGACCTTTAGAATAACAAGAGAATTAAAAACAAATTTAATATGAGAATAAGGTTGCTAAGTATGCTAAGTGGATGCTTAGATAAAATCTGTCTATTTTATTACTGCTTTAAAAAAATTCAGTAGATTATGTAGGTGCCATTATTGGCATTTTATTTTTTTAATAAAATAACTGAATGCTTATTTTTTGCATTGGTAAAACTTAATATTAGTAGTCTAGGCACAGAAAGAATTTATTTGGAAAGATATTTGAATCACATCAGTATTACTTTTTGCTTAAAATTTATTAAAGGAAGGCTCAAGTAGGATATAGACCAAAAAAAGTTGCTGGGTATCGAATTAGATTACTACGCCAATTATCTCTAAGGGATTTTATAGTATATATAGACATGGAGCTGGGCCTTCTTGTTGAAAAGGTCTATGGGTTGACCAGTTTGAAAGGTTGACAGAGTTGACAGGTTGACTGGTTAGATTCACTTGGTTGGCAGGTTGACAGGATTAACTGGATGGACAGGTTGACTGGGTCAACAGGATTAACTGGATGGACAGGTTGACTGGGTCAACAGGATTAACTGGGTTGATACATTTTATGTATTTTAGAAAAACCATCCATGAAATGTTAGAATTTACATCAATATTGTTAAACTTGTGGACCCTTTCTATTTGTCATTCCTGTCGACCATGGAAATTTCTATCACCCATGTCAACCCTGCAGAACTTGTCAACCCTATTAACCTGTGGACCCCTTTTAAATTGTTGTGTTGACCGTGTCAACCCCTGCAATTTCAACCTGACATCCCTGTCAACCTTTGTAATTTCAATGTAGCTTAACTTATATAGTGCATACTGGCAAAACTGAATCACAACCATTTTTTTTTTAAATTAGCAGGAACTGTTTTACCCTTTACCCTTTTTGTTCCCATATATGGCAACACAGGTTATACAGTGATCCTCATGTCTGGTCTCCTTTTTTTATTTGTTTGGCTCTGGCAACTAGGATGGCTAAAATACCTGTATGTTGCAAACTTGTAGAGAATTAGCTACTGTCATTGACCGTTAACACTTGATTACCATGATTACATTTTCAGTGCTATTTTATTCTTTAGTCAGTCAGGGCATAGATGTATAAACCCATAGATGAAGCTCAACACTGACTTCAAAGGTTCTATGTGCGTTGTAATGGCTTTCACACTTATCTGACAATGACATGAACCAGTTGGTCATTGAGATGGCAATTGACAATCTAGACAATAGAAAACTGACAATCAAATGCTACTTAGCAGTTAAACATGCTAAAAAATAGGAAATAAATAAAATCAAATTATATATTTTAGAATGACTTGGTTATGAAAAAATAATGTTCTTGTAGGTAATACAATATTACAAATTATTCTCGAAAAGAAATTAATAAATGCGGATATTATTTTTTTTAGCCAGAACTAATATTTTTCATCATATTTACATATTTACATTTTTAGATTTTATATCTTTTATCACAATTTAACTTTATTTAAACAATGTACATGTATGTTTACTATTATAAACAAGTCTATTAAAAATATAATTAATAGAAAACATAGAAAAAGTTGAATATATTCTCCATAATATTTATTTACCATGCTTTACATGGAATGTTTTGGTAGTAAACTAAAACTCTTTACTTAAACCATGGATGTATAAAGCTGCTTAAACTTATTTAATAAAGATCATGAATGAAACTATTACTAATTTAGCCATAGATGTATAAAATACATCTTTGATTTAGTAACTTATACGTAAAAATATATAGGCCTAAATGATTTAAAAAGACAATATCTCTTCTAAAAATGTAGAAAAACTGATGAAATAAAGAAAAAAATGTACTTTCTTATTAATTTTTTCCCAAATTCGACGCAGTTCGACACCTTATTGAAGCATATCAAAGAAAAGGTTTATTTTAGAAGTTCAACAACGTGCTATTCCCATTTTCAGGAACTAACAGAAACATAGTTTTTATAAAATATAAAGATACAAGCCTTAAAAAAACATTTTTTAATTTAGTTCAATATTTCCCTTGTAAAATGCGCATTTTCTGACCGATTTCATCCATTTTTTCACCATTTTATTTGTCTGTCCAGTGCGATAAAATTAGACATACTCTCACAACAGAAGGGACATAACTCGAGAAGACAATTAAGAAAATCTATTCTGCTGTACTGGTCAATACAGATCAACAGATAAGAAATGTAGCTAGAGTTACTTGATTGAGGACAACACACATGAAACATCAAAGACAGTCAATTTGGTCATGGTTCTTTTTATCTAAGAAAAGAGAACAGTAGGGAACTTTTGACGAGCTTTATCTATGGGTTTATACATCTATGGTCAGGGGTACTACTTGTACTTGTACAAGTAATTTTTATTTACTTGAAGAAGTAAATATTAATATACTTATATAAGTATATTTGTAGGATACTTATACAAGTGTATTTTATTTACTTGTATAGGTAAAAAAATTTTGGCTTATTTATGTCCCTTATATAAAAACATTCAGATTTTTTACTTATACAAGTAAAAAAGTCATCCTATCTTCTTTTCTTGAATTTCTTAGGACTTCTTTGTTCTAATAGAATTTTTAATCGTCTGTCTTTTGCAGATGTCTTTACTAATCATTTAAGTGTAATTTCATGGACAATGAAAATCTCATTTGTCTGTTATCTTCAGAACACTGCTCATTTATAAGCCCCCAAGGGGCAATTTTTGAAGGCCTTGGCCATGGGCAAATACTTAAGATCTTTGCGCAATTAGTTTCTTTGTTGAATTAATGAGATGAAACATTGAACTCTAATAAAAAATTATGAGCTAACCTGAGAAAAATTGTTAAAGGCTTGTTTTTACATCTCAAAACTTGAGAATTTTTCGGGATTGTAAAAAAAGTAAATTTTAAATTTTTGAGAAAATTAAGGGGAGATTATTCAAACATTATAATTTACTCATATGAGTATATTATTATTTACTTCTTCAAGTAAATAAAGATTACTTGTACAAGTAGTACCCCTGACTGTTAGTTGTTTCCAAATATTTTTTTTCAATGTTATTTTTATCTATTTTTAAAAATAATTTATTTCAATTATTGTGTCTCGTCCGGAATATGCATGAAATATTTGCCACTGGACGTTAAGCAACCAACAATCAATCAATCAATCAATTATTGTGAACCAAATGAAACTTTTTTGAGTAATCTCCTCTTGGTCAAGGTATTTAAACTTTTGTCAGTTCTATTGTCCCATTGAATAAATATAATAGCTATTGTATCTGTGTAGTTTATTCACTAGGACCTTGAAATTTCTTAAACATTGTTTAAAGAGAAATCCAACACTCAATGCTTAATTAACCTGAAGAAAAAAGTAAATGAAAATACATGTATCAACTCACAAAACTGCATGTGATGTTGTTTTTATTCAATATCAATAATGTATTTTCAGTATGTTCAATATAAACACTTGATTCAAATATTAAAAAATTGATTTTTGACAAAATTTTTGACATTGTTCCTAGTGAAATTTGTTTTTTTGTGTGTTTGACAAATAAAAACTGGAAAATGACAATGTTTAAATTAAGGCCCTATTAAATGTATTTTATGACTTATCAAACACACAAAAAAATGCAAATTTCAACAAAACAATGCTAAAAATTTTGTCAGAAATCAACTTTTTGTGATTAACTCGGTGTTTATTTTGAACAGATTGAAAATACATGTATATTATTGAAAAAAAAAGAAATTTCTTCTTTGAGATTTCCAATAAACATGATAAAGCATGAGTATGATTAAATGAATATAGTTTATCACAATGTTGTGGACTGTATAACACAAGATATCATGGTACATTGTACAATCATATGTCATTCCTGAGTGATTCCCTCTTTAATGTAATATTTTTGTGCTTTTATTCCCCCACCAGCAGGTATAGGGGTCATTAAGTGTTACCCTTGGTTGTCCTTCCTTCTATTTCTCTGTCCCATTTTGGTTCCACACTCCAACTTAGTTTTCCTCATCCAAATTTTATGAAACTCATACACAATGCTAAGAACCAAAATTCCCAGACAGTTCAAATTTGGGTAGTGAGTCACTTACTGTTTCAGAGTTATGCCCCTTTATAACTTGGAAAATTGCAAATTTTTTTGTTTCCACTCTCTAACTTAAGTTTGCCTCATTCAAATTTTATGAAACTCATACACAATACTTAAAACCAAAACATGCAGACAGATATAAAAATAAGGAGATGTGATATGATTGCCAATGAGACAACTAGCCACCAAAGTTCAAATGAAGTGGATGTAAACAATTAAAGGCAACCCTATAGCCTTCAACAATGAGAAAAATCCATACCCTACAGTTGGCTATAAAAGGCCCAGACAAGAAAAAAATGAAACAGTTCAATTGAGAAACTAATAATTTAAGAAAAACAAATACTGTAAACCAACTAATTTTCGCTTGCGATTTATTTTGACGACTTTCGTGAGAAGAAAAATAACGCGAATATAAATCACCTCAAATACGCAAAACTTGGATCTTTCCTTTTTAACTACATCAAATATTTTTGAAAATCGTAAAATTTAATCACCGCAAAGTAGGAGAGAAATGGCTAAATGCGAAATAAAGTATCCGCGAAAATAAGTTGGTTTACAGTATGACAGACATGAACCAATGACAACCACTGAACTACAGGCTCCTAACTTGGGACAGGCACATAAAGAATGTGGCGGGGGTTAAACATGTTTGTAAGCGCTCAACCCTCCCCTAACCTTGGACAGTGTTGTAACAGCACAACATAAGAACAAACTATAAAAATCTGTTGAAAGTCAATTTTGGGCAGTGAGTCACTTACCGTTCTAGAGTTATGCCCCTTTTAAACTTGGAAAATTGCAAATTGTTTTGCTTCCACACTCGAACTTCAGTGCCTCATGTAAATTTTATGAAACTGATACACAATGCTATGAACCGCAACAAGCAGAAAGAGATCAAATTTGGGCAGGGAGTCACTTACTGGTCTAGAGTTATGTCTCTTTTTCACTTGGAAAATTGCAAAGCTTTAGTGTGGGCATTCGTGTCCTCAGACACATTATTCTTTTATTTAAGTATGAAATTGCTCAGTTTGCAATGGTTTACTGAAGCCAGTCATTTGTGGTTAGCTATGGCATTCATGTCCATAGACATTTGTTTTTTACTATTTCAGAAAACAAGAAGATGTAGAAATTAAATCATGTGTTAGATGTCTTTTACCAAACTTTTTGGACCAAAAAGGAGAAGGTGTTTGGATAGATCTTCCGTGTTTGAATGGGAGAAGGACAGGCCATGGCGTTGTAGATGTTGGTAAGGGGAGAGAATTAAATACTTACACATTTGTTTATATACAGTTTAAAATACAGTATTAAATTAAAAAAAATCATCTTTCTAAATACCAAACAGCAAAGAATGATAAGAAATGTGATTGGTTAGAAGAGAAACTGTATCACAAATTTATGTATGGAACATATTTGAAAGATTGAAATATTTTCTGTAGTAGTATTATAAGGATATTGAGGGGGAACTGCATGTAAGATACATATCATACTATGCTGTTAATATTGCTGTAAATTTTTCACAAAAGTTTCATTATCAAGAAATCAATATCTTACACTTTCCACCAGACTGGGTTCCTAGTATCAAAATAGGTAGCAATCTTTGTACTCATTACTGAATGTCATACAAAGGTTATCCCAGGTCAACTCTTCCTGTATATATATATATATGTATAAAAAACTGAAAAATGCTGAGGAATATACAGTGTTATGCAATAAGTATTACTCACAATCCTTTTTTTTTTTGCTATATATGTCATATACAAACTAGGTATTTTCAAAAAAATATTTTGAAGGCAGTTATGGTTAGATTTTAATTAACTTGGTGCCTATAGAAGCAGAATTGTCTAAAGTATATTTACTTATTTGTTCATAATTTTGTCTTCAGTTTTTGATTCAATCTTGATTCAGCCATGCTGGATCTATGTTATCACTCCAGATTTAGTAATGGTGCAGAATTCTAAGTTGAAGACATATCATGAAACTAATTATTTATTTTTTTATGATTCGCAGACACTTTTTAATCATCTACTGTTAACTTGTAAAAATGTTATTTAAGAAAATATTGGTCGAACCGCTTCTTAAGATATACATTTACATATAGCTCCTTTGTAAATCAAAATGTATGTTAAATTACTTTTATGAATTAATGTGAAAAAATAATATATATAATATTTAATCATTTGAAAAGAATTATGAAAGTATTTTATAAGTATTTTATGCTTGTGTAAATTATGGATTAAAATTTGGTACAATATATGTATTGATATCAAAGTTGATTCCCACACTTTTTAGCTCACATGGCCAAAAGGGCCAAGTGAGCTTTTCTCATCACTTGGATTCCGTTGTCCGTTGTCTGTCATCGTCCGTCATCTTCTGTTAACTTTTACAAAAATCCTCTCCTCTGAAACTACTGGGCCAAATTTAACCAAACTTGGCCACAATCATCATAGGGGTATCTAGTTTTTAAAATATGGCAGATGACCCCCCTGCCAACCAAGATGGTCGACATGGTTAAAAATAGAACATAGGGGTAAAATGCAAGTTTTGTCTATTATTTTGAAAACCGTTATAAATAGAGAAAATCTGACAGGGCGAAAATGTTCAGAATGTTGAGCTCTACCAATTGTCAATTATACTTCAAAACTGTTAGACGACTTCTTTCAGGAGTTATTGCCCTAAAATGACAAATTTTACCATTTTTTGTCTCGCCTTGACGGAGTCAAAAAGCGAGACATAGGTATTCTGTTTCCGGCATCAATGACCACGTCAACAATGTATTAGTTTGTGATTAGGTGTAGTTCATGGTGATCCACTAGTGGTAGATCAATGATATTTGGTATGCAGTTGTATTAGCATTGGCACATCTCATTACCATGGAGATTATTTGGCCCCGCCCCCTCAGTCAAGGTCTATTGACTTTGAAACTTTTCATAGTTTACATGTATTAGTTTGTGATTAGGTCAATTTATGGGGAACCACTTGTGGTAGGTCAATGATATTTAGTATGCAGTTGTATTAGCATTGGTACATCTCATTACCATGGAGATTATTTGGCCCCGCCCCCTCAGTCAAGGTCTATTGACTTTGAAACTTTTCATAGTTTACATGTATTAGTTTGTGATTAGGTCAATTTATGGGGAACCACTAGTGGTAGGTCAATAATATTTGGTATGCAGTTGTATAAGCATTGGCATATCTCATTTCCATGGAGATTATTTGGCTCCACCCCCTTAGTCATGGTCTATAGACTTTGAAAATTTTGCTAAGTTAACATGTATTAGTTTGTGATTAGGTCAGTTCAAGGGGAACCATTAGTGGAAGGCCAATGTTAATTTGTGTTCAGTTGTATAAGCATTAGCACATCTCATTTCCATGGAGAATATTTGGCCCCGCCCCCTCAGTCATGGTCTATTGACTTTGAAACTTTTGCTTAGTTTACATGTATTAGTTTGTGATTAGATCAGTTTAAGATGAACTGCTAATGTTAAGTCAATGATATTTGGTATGCAAATGTATTGGCATTTGCAAATATCGTTTCCATGGAGATTATATAGCCCCACCCCTGATCATGATTCATTGACTTTGAAACTTTTACATAGTTTACAAGTTAATGTTTGTGTTTAGGTTTGTTTAAAGGGAACAACTTATAATAAGTCAGTGGTATTTGGTATGCAGTTGTATTAGCATTGGCACATCTCATTCCATGGAGATTGTTTAGCCATGTACCTTCAGTTATGGTTCATCGACTTTGAATATTTGCATAACTTGCATGATAAAGTATTGCTATTTTAATTTCAACATTTGCATTATCAAAATTACAAAAAGGCGAGACATATCTCTGTGATAACAGTTTATTTTCATTTTTGTCTATTATCTTAAAGATTATAATAGATAGAGGGAAACTTTAAAATGCAAAAATGATCACCAAGACAAGTTCTACCAATAGGTCTGCATGGTCGAAATCGTCAGTCGATTCCTTATTAGAGTTGTTGCCCTTTGATGACGATTTTTACCAATTTTTTGCGTTTTTTCCTCATATCTTAAAAATTATAATAGATAGATAGAAATTAAAATAAGCAAATATGATCGGCAAGACAAAATCTACAATTAAGGCAAATGTTGAAAATTGTCCAACGTTTCCTTATTGGAGTTATTGCCTTTTAATGACGAATTTTACCAATTTTTTTGGGTTTCGCCTTATATGATAAAAATTATAATAGATAAATAAACACTTTCAATCACAAAAATGATAAGCAAGGCAAGATCTACTAACAAGTCAAATTTTGTTTCAAACTTATGATTTTGATTGTCCCTTGGTTTCTTCTCTGTGAAAAGTGTTTAAACACATGTTAACATTTTGGGCTAAAATCAATTATCCAAAGTTCTGATGGTTGTTTCAATATAAATGTCTTACAGAAGTTTGTATAAAGAAAAAAATATTGAAAATGAGATAAAAGTTATGTCCGACTACCATAAGCTAAAAAATGGCTGGATCACATCACCAATGATGCTTTGATTTTTTCTGCCCCCCGCCCCCGCTGCTAGGCGATTGGATGGGGGCATTAAGTGTTTTCTTTAACTTTCAGGGGTTCAAATTAACATTTGGTACTGGAAGGTCCAGGACCTTTGACACTCCAAACTGAAAGGTCCACAACCTAAATCCCAGGTCCTACTTTTATATGAAATATTGCATAACTCAATAAGATACAAAATTAATGTACTTTTGGAGTAAGGTTAGTTTGTTTCATCATATTTGAACTGCATGTGATGTTTCGTTTCTCATATAATGGGCTATCCAGCGAATAAACAGTTTACAACCTTCAATATTGAACTACTGCTTACACATCAACACCATTTTTGCACTGGATTTCAAGAATAAATTCATAGTCACTGAAGGGTTTCCCTTTTTTGCAATACTGTATGCAGTGGTGAAAAGAACCTTATATCTATTTAACTGATCAGGCTTGCATTGCTGCTTGAGAATACATTGTCCAAGTTTAGTGTCTGACAATTAATCTTTAGACTTAAAATTTGGGTCACTTTCATGGATCCACTGCTTTAAACAAGATAAATGCTGGGGTGTCACTTCGTATATTTTTATTGGGTCTATTTTAAGATTTTGTGTTCCCATTACAAATTTTCTTTTTCTGAATGGGTGGGAAACTTCAGGCAGTATGTGCATGACATTAGGCCAGTTGATTCATCAAAATATAGCCACGGTTTGCTCGATTTTCCACTGGGGCTTAAATGTCCGTTCCGGTTTTTCACGATCGCATTGTTGGTATATAGTGAGATCTTCATTTGATTTCTTTTGAAGACGTTGAAGACACAGGCACTTGTTTCTATCCATGGGAAGGTTGAATATCCTTCTATATTTATGGATGGTCGACCTTCCCATGGATAGAAACAAGTGTTTGTGGTTGAAGACCGTTCATAATCTTCAGGCTTTCTCTTGGAAGATGTGACACCAAAGTGAAACGGATTCATTTTGTTCGATTAAATGATTTGTCACGTGACTTCTCGCAACTATTTATAACCTTGTGTTTCCAAGAAATACAAGGTTAAAAATAACTTTTATCACTCGTCGGCAAGGTCAGGGATGAAACATATTTTTATCTCAATTTCAATAATAATATGACTTAAAAATGACGATACAGATGGTTAAAAAGGTCAGCAAAAATAATTTTGTATTTCCTTTAAAATCGAAGGTCCGTCGGGCGTAGCTAGTAACCAAAACAAAAGTCTGATTGCAACAGTGGAAGGTCACGGACCTCGGACCACTGCTACTTTGAACACCTGACCTTATGCCCCTGCCACTAGGGGATTTGGGCATTAAGTCTTACCTTTTACCATCAGTCTGTCTTTCTGTCTGTCCTTTTTTCCATCCCATTTTCGTTTTACCAATCTAACTTAAGTTATCCTCATCCAAATTTTATGAAACTCATACAAAATGCTAAGAACTGAAGCTTGCAGACAGAGTTCGAATTTGGGCATGGATTAACAAAAAATTACAATTGAAATTGGTTGAAATGCAAATTTCTGGACAAAAATAGTATGTATTGCACACCATTGTAGTATATATTTAAAATATATTATTTATTTATCTTTGCTTATTCTCATAGTGATACATCTCTTATAAATACATATGTATACTGTAAACTGGGAAATTTTTACATTATCTTTTTTTTTGTGATATATCAACAAAATCTAATTTTGCCCCAATTTGGATTTGAATATCCCTGGGTCCTATAAAATGTTCATAAATATGTTTTAAACTCTTAAATGATGTTAGAGGCATATACTTTTGATCAAAAGCTTATATAACCATGTTGAACATGTATAAATGGAAAAGATTAATGTGATTATTCAGGGTATAAAATACTGATTTATTGTTGTTTCTATAATGTTCAGTGGCAAATATTTCATGCATATTCAGGATGAAATACATTTTCTATGCTAATTAGATGATGGTAGATGTCCTCTGCATTCATAATATATAATATAATAATTAAATATTGATATATTATTTATATGAAAACTTGTCATTCAGGAATAAAGTCAATCAATGAATAAAATCATAGATACCAGGATTAAAATTTTGTACGCCAGACGCCCATTTTGTCTACAAAAGGCTCATCAGTGACGCTCTAATAAAAAAAGTTGAATGGACCAAATAAAGTACAAAGTTGAATATCATTGAGGACCCCAAAGTACAAAAGGTTTTATTAATACAGCTAAGGTAATCTATTCCTGGGGTAGAAAAATAGTAGTATTTCAAAATTTTTTAAGTTTTTCAAACGGTTAATTTATAGTTATGACCATATTAATGATAAATCATGTCAAAACTGAAAAATACAACATACAGTTTGGAATTATTTAAGGAAAGGTAAATATGGTAATAGTGGTTAAATTGTTTCAGTATGAGATGTAAACTAGTCATTTCAAGTTGTTTATTATTTCTTATAGGAGGATGTCTCTATGCTTGTGGGGGACGAGATCAGAACTGTGTCATTCTTAACACTTGTGAAAAGTATGATCCCTTGGCTAATAAATGGTGTGAGATTCCTAGAATGAATCATGGTCGTGTTGGCTTTGGACTGTTGGCTATCGATCACAACATTTATGCCATAGGAGGAAGCAATGACATGACTGAACCATTAACATCTATGGAAGTCTATAACATATATACCAACAAATGGTCAGCACTCCCGGACATGAATCTAAAAAGGGTGTGGTCATCATATTGTAATGTTGACAAGAAGATCTATGTTATGGCAGGTGGAGCTGTCGGAAAGTTATTTGAAGCTGTAGAATGCTTTGACACTCGCACAGAAACTTGGACCTCAGTTTCTCCAATGAGGGAAAAGAGATGTGATGCTCGAGCTGTTGCTGTGAATAAAGATATTTATGTTTTAGGTGGTTTTAGAAGAATTGAATGTCCAAGTGCAATGCATGGGGGACACAATATAAAATTCTGTGGAACAGAATTATACTCTACTAGAAATGACTATTGGGCACAGTTACCTACTCGTGGAACAGGGCTTTGTACAATGTCAGACTCATCACAGGTATATGGGGCTCTTTATGATGGAGAGGAAATACTGGTTGTTGGGGATTTGGACATGGAAGGTACTTTCCATTGTGTAAGAGCTTACAATATACATACTGGTATATGGCACTGTATATCACCGAATCCACCACTTAATCAGCGTAGTTACCCTGTATGTTTATTTAGACTTCCGACTTATTTGTTACAACTATTTCAACGGGAACAAGGGAAACTAACATTTCAATCTAGAAACAAGTAGTATACTGTTTTTCGACTTTATATTTAAGCTTTATATAGAAATGTAGTGAAAAAAGTGTGCATGATGTGTCATTGATGTTTGTAAATAGAAATACATTTATATCTACGCTGTACATGTGTAATCCTTATTTCTATTTGTTGTTATGAAAATTTCTCCTTTATGAGAGCAGATATTGTAATTTTGTAGAAAACTAATTAGCAAAAGGCATTTTACATTATTAGATTGAAAGATAAAAAATTATATGTCAAAAATTCATTTAATTTTAAAGAAAGAAATCATGTGATTTTTGCTTCTTGAACAAAGATCAATAGACATTTAACCTTGAGAACAAAGACGTGCCAAAATATAATAAAATGTGATCTAAATCTATCAGAGTAATGGAATAGGTTCTGTAGGATAATTTTCTTGGAAAATCTATTGTTTATCAAATGATTTCCCTTTCCACACATGTCTAAACCTTGAATAAAAGTTTTATTTATTCAGACATTTTTTATTTAGGGTATGTTATAGCTGAAATATGATCACAAGTGTTCTGCAACTGTGGTAAAAATACCAAAATGAAATAATTACAAATGTACCTATCCTGCCTCATTTTAAATCATTTAGTTCAGAACTATATGAAAAATTAAGTTACTGATTTCTTTTTAACTAAAAAGTCTTGTAGAACATATAAGGTTCAAAATACAGAATAAGGCATTAAAAAGAACTTTGGTCCAAAATATTTAAGAGAATGTATCTGACTACCAAATTTGTTATATGGTAAACAAGTTTGTCTAATATATTGAAAGTTTAACATTTGTTTTGTTTAATATCTATTTATATAAAAATTGAGGCAATGGTTTTTTCACTAACTACAGAACAGCTCTCAATTCCTGTTTTTCAATTGTCTCCAATTGCCATACCAGATTAAAACAAATGAACAATAAAAAAATTAACACTAGTTCATCAAGTTCCTAAAAGTATTACCATCATCCAGAACGATATCAGTTATTATCTATCTATATAACACAGTTGTTATCAAAATTTACTCCTGTATTTAGAACTTTGAATTGTTGTAATGTCAAATTGTTAGTTCCAGTTTCTTATGTTGAGAAACAATAATATTGCTTTATTACATTTGTAGTTATGGACTCTTTTGTATTGATTAAAATATATGACTTCATTGTGATCATTTTATTTTTATATAACAATTACGTACAATGGCGCATGTTAAAATATGAAATATAGATGTTAAAAATCAGGGGTTTTTTCGGATGATTGTTACATTCAGATTTAAAATCTGATATATGATGCATGTCTATATTTACTTATACTTATTAGTAGCTAATAATTTATTGTTCATTTGTTATTAACAAAAAATATACCATAATGGTGCTTACTTTTATTTATGAATTTATAATCAGTTAAGCTAATGTGTATTATAAAATTACTAGTTCTTATACACTACTAATATATAAATCATTGACATTTAGAGGGAATGATTGATCTACTAGAATTATAGAAAGTCAGTGTTATGTATATTGGCAAGAATTTTTGCCAATACAGTTTTTAAATTTTAAGTGTTTTCCCTGATAAAATATGCACTGTTAATTTTGCATAATATATTGAAGGTGTATTATTAAACTTAAACTTAAGAAATATAATGCCAAATTTTTCACTGTATGTCATTCTAGCTTTAAATTTGAAACTGAAATAAGAGGTTATTTTTATACATTAATACTTATTACAGTAAGTGTCTGGCATAAATCTTGTTGTTTTTGAATATTTTTCAGAAAACTAAAATCGATGAATTTAAGAACCCACAAACATGTTACTTTTGCTCAAACCACGCAAATTGATACCAACGAATAAAAGTACTTTCACAGTATCTTTATGATCTTAAATATGCAAATTTAGATAAACTAGACCCTTTTCCTGTATGCAGTTTGTTTCAACAGTGTTGACAGCTTCAAGAGTATTATAATTTACAAGTTTTTAGCTTCCTTTTTATGCCCCGATGTAGCGGAGGGGGCATTAAGTTTTACCCTTGTCTGTCTGTACGTAAGTCCTTACGTCTGTCTGTACATCTGTACGTCCATCTGTACATCCGTACATCGGTACGTCCTGAAATTATTTTCCGTTCTCTAACTTTAGTTTGCTTCAACCAAATGTTATGAAACTTATACACAATGCTTATTACCACAAAACACAGATCAAATTTGAATTTGGGTGGCGTCACTTTTACCTTTCTAGAGTTATTCCCCTTTACAAATGGAAAAAATGCTGAATTTTTTGTTTCCATTCTCAGACTTAAGTTTCCCTCAACCAAATGTTTTGAAACTTATACACAATGCTTATTACCACAAAACTCAGATCTAGTACGAATGTGGGTAGTGTCAATATTACAGTTCTTGAGTTATGTCCCTTTCTAACATTATATGCAAGCTGGGGCATCATCTGTGTCACATGGACACATTCCTCGTTTATTTTTCATCTTAAGGTCTGTTTTCTTCTGAAAAACACTGGCCATTTATCCTTCAATAAAAAACAAATGGTTATAAAAAGATACAGATGCACACCTAAACATTTTTTGGTGTTTCATGCATGTTGCAATAACTATTGAAATTAATGCAGAACATTAGTCAAATTATGATTTACTTCACAACATTGCACAATTATGATGTCATTATAGAATCATAAATGTTCTAATGTGTCATTTGATTTTGTATTTGTCAGATATTTTAAAATATTTTGTGTTCAAATATTTAATATTATTACTGCCATTAAATATAATGGAATTATTTTAGGGCCACTATTAACAGTGTCAATTACATGTTTATTCCAATTTTTGGAAGATATGGATATTTTGAGTGAAAAGTAAATCAGCTTTCTTGTTGTTGTTGTTTTATATTTGCTGTATTATTATTTACATCTATGCTGGCATATATATCTATTTTGTCATATACATTTTTTCTGCCATATACATACATCTATTCTGGCATATACATCTTTTCTGCCGTATACATCTATTCTGGCATATACATCTATTCGGGCATATACATCTATTCTGGCATATACATCTATGCTGGCATATACATCTATGCTGGCATATACATCGGTTCTGCCATATACATCTATTCTGGCATATACATCTATGCTGGCATATACATCTGTTCTGCCATATACATCTATTCTGGCATATACATCTATGCTGGCATATACATCAATGTTAGAAGTGTTTGTTATCTATGTTTGTTTTGAATTTTGAATGTGATCACATGTAAATAGCCTATTTGCCAATGGTTATTGACCCTGTTATTTGAGATCTATTTGTAAAAGTTGTTTCCCTTAAGAAAGAGGGACATAACTTTCAACATATATGAAGAGGTAGTGAAAAGAGGAAATTTATCAGTGCATATTGTGTGTAATCCAAGATATTTAAATCTTTTAATAACATTTAATCTTTTGCCGAGGTAAAATCTTCTGATATAAATAGTTATTTTCATTCAAAATTGGTTAAATTGCCTGTACATCACTTTTAACCTGTAATGCTTCGTATGGTCAGCATCCCGTTTAGTCTGTTTTACAACCAGTCTACAACTTACAAAGGGAAACAACTTGTTTTAGAAGTGTGCTATAACAGAATTAAATTAGTAATCGACAAATAGGCTATTTTAAAAAGACTTGTTATTGACAATATTGTTCAAGAGGATATTATTAAAAAGTTTAGCCTAGTTCATATATTCGTGTATGTTGTAGTAATTAGTAATTTAGACATGATAATTTATAATATTTGTGGAACAAGAAATATTTATGTGTGTTCACTTTGAAAGTGATGACAGTTTGTTTAATGTTTGCCCTGTGAAGGTATTTGGACCATATGATTTTTAAAAAGACCTGGATGTTTTATGCAATTTTTTAGCAAATATTATGATTCCAGCAAACATTGGACAACTTCAGAAACCCATATGATCTGGTAATAATCTTTGAAGATTTAAGCAGGTTTTTGTCTCGCCTAACATAGAATTGTAGAAGCAAGAATAAGGTGTAGTGTTTTTAAAAGTCTCACCTGTGACAAAGTCTTTAAAGGGTGACTTAGGCATGCTGTTTTAGCGGCATCATCAACAATTTGTTATAGTTTGTGATGAGGTTAATTAAAGGGGAACCGCTATTGAGCCACTAATGATAAGTCAATGATATTTAGTATGAAGTTGCATTAGCATTAGCACATCTCATTTCCATGGATATTATCTTGTCTTGCAGCCTCAGACATTTTTCAATGACTTTGAAAGCTTTGCATAGTTTACATATTAAAGAGTTGCCATTTTAATTTCAACTTTTGCATTTAACTATCAAAATTACCTCAGGTGAGACAAGTCTCTGTCAATAATTTATTTATAAAGTTTTCTTACTCATGAACAATACATTTGTCAAAAAAAATTATTAACTTATGATTTTCTTCTTATAAATTGTTGATATTTGACCACCATTTTGTTTCTGGTTTGGATATCCAAATATGTTGAAGAAATAGAACTAGAAGCATCTGTTTTAGTGTTAAGTATGATTTAGTATATATCACATAATATTGACTGTAAACACCTTAGATCTGTTAACAGAACAATTAATACATAGTTATTTCTATTAAGTTTGATCATATTCTAGTCATTTTCATCTTTCATCAAACTGCTGAAAATTACTTGAAACAAATAGTATACTGTTTTGATTTTCATTGTTTTTGTATCATTAAAGTACCTGTTGGTAATAATTGACGTATGTTTTAAACATTTCTGTAGTTTCTATTAATAAAATGTGTTGTTGTATCCTGCTTCAGAAAATAAAGAAATGCATAAATAAAAATAAAACTTGTATTTCTGGCCATCTATTTGGGGGGTACACATTGTTATGTTATGTATCCTCTGAAACTACTGAACCAATTCCAACCAAACTTAAGCTGAATGATCTTTAGGGTATCTAGAATAAACAAAAAAAGAAAAGTATTAATGATAAAGATAAACTGTAAACAGCAAATATGTTCAGCAAAGTAAGATCTACAAATAAGTTTTATATGACCAAAATTGTCAATTGACCCCTTTAAGAGTGATTGCCCTTTAAGGACAATTTTACACAATTTGTTTATGTTTTCTAACTTTAAAAAATCTTCTCCTCTGAAACCACTGAACCAATTCCAACCAAACTTAAGCTGAATGATCCTTAGTGTATCTAGAATAAAGTTTGTGTTTAATTTTCTGTTTCGTCAAAAAACATGGCCACCATGGCTAAAAATAGAACATAGGGGTAAAATGCAGTTTTGACTTATATCTAAAATCCAAAGGAGTTAGGGGTGAAATGGGGTAAAAATGTTCATTAGGTGAAGTTCTATCAGCCCTGAAATTTTCAGATGAATCTAATAACCCATTGTTGGGTTGCTGCCACTAAATTGGTAATTTTAAGGAAATTTTGCAGTTTTTATACGACCGCAAAAAATTTTTGCAATTTTTGCGGTCATATATTGGTATGATGTTGGCGTCGTCCTTGTCGTTGTCCGAAGACACAATGGTTTTCGCACTATAACTTTAGTTTAAGTGAATTGATCTCTATGAAATTTTACCATAAGGTTAAATACCACAAAAGCAAGGTTGGGATTGATTTTGGGGGTTATGGTACCAACAGTTAAGGCCAAAAAGGGGCCAAAAATAAGCATTTTCTAGTTTCCAGAAAATAACTTGTGGAACAGTGTATGGATCTCTCTGAAATTATACCACAAGTTTCCATACCACAAAGGGATGGTTAGGATTTGCTTTGGGGGTTATGGCTCAAACCGTTTAGGAATTAGGGTAAAAAAAGGGGGAAAAACAAGGTTGTCCTGGTTAATGGACAAATACTTTAGTACAAAACATAATTTAAAGCAGTGTAAGGGAGATAAATCAAATACATCATTTGAATTACTTCCCTTACACTGCTTTTAAATTATGTATAAAGTAATTGTTAATGAACAATTAAGACAATTTAAAACAGTGTAAGGGAGGTAATTCAAATACAACATTTTGATTACTTCCCTTACACTGCTTTTAAATTATGTTTAAAGAAATGCATATTTATAAAGGAAGACCAGTAAAAATATCTGCAAATGTTGCATCTTTTTTTTTTTACAGAAAAATCCATATGAAAGATTTGACACCATATTTTAAATTCTATTATAAAATAGATTAAGTTAGCACTATGGTAGATTTAAATGGGAAATTATGGTTGCAAATTCCATAGGAAATTTGAATTGAGATTATGACCATATCTTGAGGGAAAGAATTTTTTGGGGGAAAAAAGGGGGGGGGGGGGGTAAAAAAAAATTGTGGGGGTCAATTTTTTCTCATTTCAGATTTCAGAAATTAAAAAGAATTATTCTTCAAATTTCAAATATTGAAAAATTTCAAGAAGTAATCTCTAATTGCACAGTATGGCGCATTAGATTTGTAAAATCTTTGACCACATTTATTTATTTGTTATGCCAAATCTGACCGTGTATTTAGATTTTTAATTTTGGGTCCAGTTTTCAAATTGGTCTACATTAAGGTCCAAAGGGTCCAAAATTAAACTTAGTTTGATTTTAACAAATATTGAATATATGGGGTTCTTTGATATGCTGAATCTAAACATGTATTTAGATTTTTAATTGGGCCCAGTTTTCAAGTTCAAGTTTCAAGGTCCAAATTGGGGTCCAAAATTAAACTTTGTTTGATTTCATCAAAAATTGAATTATTTGGGTTCTTTGATATGCCAAATCTAACCCTGTATTAAGATTTTTAATTCTGGGTCCCGTTTTTTAAATTGGTCTACATTAAGGTCCAAAGGATCCAAAATTAAACTTAGTTTGATTTTAACAAAAATTGAATTCTTGGGGTTCTTTGATATGCTGAATCTAAACATGTGTTTAGATTTTTATATGACCGCAAAAAAATTTTTGTGGTCGTATATTGGTATGACGTAGGCGTCGTCGTTGTTGTCGTCGTCGTCCGAAGACACATTGGTTTTCGCACTCTAACTTTAGTTTAAGTGAATGGATCTTTATGAAATTTTACCACAAGGTTCAATACCACAAAAGGAAGGTTGGGATTGATTTTGGGGGTTATGGTACCAACAGTAAAGGAATTAGGGGCCAAAAGGGGCTAAAAATAAGCATTTTTGTAACTTCCAGATATAACTTGTGTGTTAGTGTATGGATCTCTCTGATATTGTACCACAAGGTTCCATATCACTAAAGGAATGCTGGGATTGATTTTGGGGGTAATTGCCTCAAAATTTTAGGAATTAGGGGCCAAAAAAGGGGCAAAAAACAAGCATTTTTCTAGTTTCATGACAATAACTTGTGTGTAAGTGTATGGATCTTTCTGAAATTGTACTACAAGGTTCCATATCACAAAGGGAAAGCTGGAATTGAGTTTGGGGGTAATTGCCGAAACGTTTAGGAATTGGGGGCCAAAAAGGGGCCAAAAAACACATTTTTCTAGTTTCCAGACAATAACTTGTGTTCAAGTGTATGGATCTCTCTGAAATTGTACTGCAAGGTACCATACCACAAAGAAAAGGCTGGGATTGATGATGGGGGTAATTGCCTCAATATTTTAGGAATTTGGGGCCAAAAAGGGGCCAAAAACAAGCATTTTTCTAGTTTCAGGACAATAACTTGTGTGTAAGTGTATGGATCTTTCTGAAATTGTACTACAAGGTTCCATATCACAAAGGGAAAGCTGGGTTTGAGTTTGGGGGTAATTGCCCTAAACGTTTAGGAATTTGGGGCCAAAAAGGGGCCAAAAAACACATTTTTCTAGTTTCCAGACAATAACTTGTGTTCAAGTGTATGGATCTCTCTGAAATTGTACTGCAAGGTACCATACCACAAAGGGAAGGCTGGGATTGAGTTTGGGGGTGATGAATCATAAGGGGGTTCAAAAAATTTGGGGGGTAGAATTTTTTTTTTTTTCCTTTTTTTTCTTTTTTTCCTTTTTTGTTTCTTTTAAAATTTTCCATTTTTAGTTGGTTATTTCTGATTTATATTTAAAATCAAATAATAATGATATGGTAGGAGATACACACCAAACAGGATGTGTAAATTATTATATGATAAGTATTGTGCAATAGCAAGAAATTTTCGATTGCACAGTATTACACAATAGCAAGAAATTTTCAATTGCACAGTATTGCGCAATAGCAAGAAATCTTCAATTGCACAGTATTGTGCAATAGCAAGAAATATCCAATAGCACAATATTGCGCAATAGCAAGAAATTGTCAATTGTACAGTATTGCGCAATAGCAAGAAATATTTAATAGCACAGGATTGTGCAAAAGAAGATACTTCCTATAAATTGCTTATTTCTTGACCAATTTCAATGGGGTTTTATTCTTGATTTCATGGGGTTCTTTAATATGCTGAATCTAACCATGTATTTAGGTTTTGGATTTTGGGCCCCGTTTTTAAATTGGTCCACATTGAGGTCCAAAGGGTCCAAAATTAAACTTTGTTTGATTTCATCAAAAATTGAATTATTGGGGTTCTTTGATATGCCGAATCTAACCGTGTATTTAGATTCTTAATTTTTGGTTCCGTTTTCAAATTGGTCTACATTAAGGTCCAAAGGGTCCAAAATTAAACTTAGTTTGATTTTAACAAAAATTGAATTCTTAGGGTTCTTTGATATGCTGAATCTAAACATTTAGATTTTTGATTATGGGCCCAGTTTTCAAGTTGGTCCAAATCGGGGTCCAAAATTAAACTTTGTTTGATTTCAACAAAAATTGAATATATGGGGTTCTTTGATATGCTGAATCTAACCATGTATTTAGATTTTTGATTTTTGGGCCCCGTTATCAACTTTGTCCACATTGAGGTCAAAAGGGTCCAAAATTAAACTTTGTTTGATTTCATCAAAAATTGAATTATTGGGGTTCTTTGATATGCCGAATCTTACCGTGTATTTAGATTCTTAATTTTTGGTTCCGTTTTCAAATTGGTCTACATTAAGGTCCAAAGGGTCCAAAATTAAACTTAGTTTGATTTTAACAAAAATTGAATTCTTAGGGTTCTTTGATATGCTGAATCTAAACATGTATTTAGATTTTTGATTATGGGCCCAGTTTTCAAGTTGGTCCAAATCGGGGTCCAAAATTAAACTTTGTTTGATTTCAACAAAAATCCAATATATGGGGTTCTTTGATATGCTGAATCTAACCATGTATTTAGATTTTTGATTTTTGGGCCCCGTTATCAACTTTGTCCACATTGAGGTCAAAAGGGTCCAAAATTAAACTTTGTTTGATTTCATCAAAAATTGAAATCTTGGGGTTCTTTGATATGCTGAATCTAACCATGTATTTAGATTTTGGATATTGGACCATAATAGGTGAATGTCCAATTTAAAATTTTTAAGTTCTTAGACCACATTCATTCTGTGTTAGAAACCTATGCTGTGTCAAATATTTAATCACAATCCAAATGCAAAGCTGTATCAAGCTTGAATGTTGTGATTATACTTCCCCCAACTGTTCAGGGTTCGACCTCTGTGGTCGTATCAAGCTGCGCCCTGCGGAGCATTTTATTTATTATGGGCCCAGTTTTCAAGTTGGTCCAAGTTGGAGTCCAAAATTAAACTTTGTTTGATTTCAACAAAAATTGAATATATGGGGTTCTTTGATATGCTGAATCTAACCATGTATTTTGATTTTTGGGCCCCGTTATCAAATTGGTCCACATTGAGGTCAAAAGGGTCCAAAATTAAACT